CTAAGTCTGGGTTTTTAACTCGTCAGTTACAGTACTTACTAACTGACAAATGCTAATAATTTCATTTCATTAATTTATTCTCAAAACTAAGTGGCTTACAACAGTCACTATTTTATTTGCTCAAAGTTCTGGGGTCAGCATTTTGGGCTGGTCTTGACGGGGGTCATTCACACAGCTGGAGCCATCTGACTGCTGTCCCCAGGTTGCAAGGTCCAAGATGCCTTCCAGCTGGATAACCCAGCCTTCTTCACAGGGTAGCAGAAATTAACTTAGCTAAGACTAAGTGCTCTCAGTTTCTTTCCTTGTTAAAATGGGACTAAAAAAGAGTTATCTCCTAGGGTTTTGTTAGGATAAAAAATGACAAAGTACGTAAACCAGTATTTTCAGAGCATGGTCCTGGCTCAGGTAGGTGTTCAAAAAATACTGGTGACTACTACCATTGTTATTATTAGTTAGATATTAAGGAAGCCAGGCATGGTGGTGCACGCCTATAATCCCAGCACTCAGGAGGCTGAGGCAGGAGGATCACTATCACTGCAAGTTCAAGGCCAGTCTGGGCTGCAATGTAAGCTCAAGGCTGGCCTGAACTGCAGAGTATGACCCTGTCTCAAAAAGACCAAAACAAACAAACAAACAAAAAAAAAACAAACAAAAAAAACCCAAGAAGATATTAAGGGTAACTGCAGTTTCTAGCTTGGGCTGCACGACAGATGGTACTGATGTTTGGAGATGAGGACTGCATAGGACAAGAGCAAACAGGTTGAAAAAGGGGAAAAGTAGTGATTAGAGTCGGCCAATGAGGGCTCCTCTTGCCTTTCTTCCACCCAAGCCCCTCAGATCCTGAGACCTTCTAATTTAAAGGTTTTTATCTAGGGGCTTACAGATAGGTTTTAGAGGGCTGGAGTACAGCTCAGTGGTAGAGTGCTTGCCTAGCAAGTATGAAGCCCTACATTCGATCCTTAACAGTGCAAAAATGTTTATGTATTTTTCTATTTAAATTTTTTGGTGGGGGAGGAATACTCATATCCCTGAATGTGTAAACTGCCGTAGTGATTTCTTTTTCTCCTTTTAGCAGAGGAGAGGTTGTAATGGAGATTAGACCCAGGCCCTTAAACATGCTAGGCAAACATTCTACCACTGAGCTACACCCCAAACTCTTTTTATTATATGAGATAGGGTCTCACTAAGTTGTCCAGGCTGGCCTCAAACTTATGATCCTCCTGCCTTAGCCTCCTAAATACCTGGAATTATAGTGGTATGCCACTGGGTCCAGTGGGCCAAAGCTTTCATAAGTTTTTTTAAATGTTTAACTTACAATTCTCCTGCCTCAACCTCCTACATAGCTGGGATTACAGGCATGAGCCAGCTCATCCAGCCAAAATGAAGTTTAAGATGACAATGCAAAGTACTGGCAAGGATGTAGAGAAAATGGAACTCATACTTTAGTGAGAGGGATGCAAAATGCTACAGCCACTTTGTGATTTATCTATATCCATGGAAGACAAGTCAGCAATAAAAAGGAACAAACCATCAATAATATTTCTTAAAAGCATTACGCAGAAATAGATTGAAGAAGTCCAACACGGGGGCTGGGGATTTAGCTCAGCGGCACAGCACCTGCCTGGCAAGCACAAGGTTGTGAGTTCAATTCCCAGTATTGGGGAAAAAAAAACAACAAAAAAAGAAGTCCAACACAAAAGATTATACTGTATGTTTCATTTCCCAAGGTCAGGTATTTGAAAGGTTTCACCAGCTCCCAGAGCACAGCCACCTCAACCTTTAATGGAAAGGCAAACGACACAGGGCAGCCAGATAAAGAGTGGGTAAGCTGGCATGGGAATCTAAGTGACAACCACGTACAAGGTTTCAGTGGGCCTTGTTCACATGTGGACTGCACTAGAGGGGTCTCTGGCTGAATCACTGTAATCTTTGTGAAGAATCCTGGCTTTGGGAGAATTCAAATCAGAAGTTCCCAGGAGGGCTTTCATGCTACTCAGACCATGAAATGAAGCCACACGCTCATAACCAGTTAGACCAGTTGCAAGCCATCATTAAGGAAAGTGATCCTGGAGCTTACCAGAGGACGTAAGACTCTAAACAGACATTATAAATCCCAGTGCCCTTATTTTGTCCAAGAGTGAAAAACGAACAACCAAGTGTCCTGAAGATAAATATGAAGTTTTGGCAACAGTTGTAAATCAACTCTTATCTTCCACAACATGAAATTCTAAAAAGGCAAACTACAGTGACAGAAAATCAGTGGTTACCTGGGATCTGGAATAGAAGGGAATGAGTACAAAGAAATACTTCAGGAGATGGAATTAACTTCTACATCTTGATGGTGATCATGGGTACACTATTATATACAGTTACCAACACTCACTAAACAAGAGCTGGGAGTGGAGGTTAGCGCTAGAGCACTTCCTTCAGATGCACAAGACCCTACATTCACTCTCTAGCTCTGACCAAAAAAATAAACAAACAAAACGTCAATGAACAGCACATTAAAAACTGGTGGGAGTCAGGCATGGTGGCAGACACCTGTAATCCCATTAGTCTGGGAGGCTGAGGCAGGAGGATCACAAGCTTGAGCCCAGCCTACGCAATTTAGTGAGAACCTGACTCAAAAAATGGCTAAGGATACAGCTCAGTGCAAGGCTTTGGGCTTAAACTCTAGTACCCTCAAAACAAAACAACAATAAAACTGATGGACTGTACAGTATGTAAGTAGTAATAAAAAAGTTTTCTTTCAAAAAGAACATGGGGATAGCTGGGTATGGTGGTGCATGCCCATAATTCCCGAACTCAGGAGGCTAAGGCAGGAGGACTGCCACAATTTTGAGGCCAGTCTAGGCTATATAGTGAGACCCTGTCTCAAAAAAAAAGCTGGTCTTCAACTCGTAGTGATCCTCCTAACTCTGCCTCCCAAGTGCTGAGATTACAGGTGCATCCCACCATGACCAGCTCACTTAATATTTTATTGCTAAAATTCATGCATATTACTATGCATCAGTATAGTTCATTTTTTACAACTGTGTAATAGTCCACTGTATGAATATTCAAGTTTATCCATTCTCTGGCTCATGAGCATCTGGACAGTTTCTAGACTTTTCTGCTTTTGTGAATAAGGCTGCTATGAATATTCTTTACATGTATCCTGGTGTACATATATGACTTTCTCTAGGATTTATCTCTAGTATTGGAATAAGTGGGATATAGGGTAGGTAAATATTCAATTATAGGAGATAAACTATTTTTCAAAGTAGTTGTCTGCTTTTCTTACCTGAGTCTGTCTGTCCCCAATCAGACTGTGATTCCAGGGATACGAAATTCCCTCCTTTTGAATCAGTACTCTTTAGAATTCAATCAGCATTAGGCTGTGTATCCAAGAGGCCAAGGGCAGAAACCCACACAGCAGAGTCCTCTCAGCCTTAGCAGAATAAACAGCAGGCAGGGCTGTGTACAGAATAAATAGCAGGCAGGGCTGGGCATGGCAGCACACAGCCAAAGTCCCAGCAGCACTCATGGTGGAGGCAGGAGGATCGCTGAGTCTGAGGCCAGCCTGAGCTACACAGTGAATGCAAAGCCAGTCTGAACTTCATAGCAAGACCCTGTCTCAAAAAACCAAAATTAATTAGTAATTAATTAATAAACAGAAGGAGGGGATCATATGCGTAGAGGCTGGTTAGGATTCTACTCAGAGCACCAGCAAAGCTCTCCACGTCCATCCTTCTACCTTTACTCCCAAGAAAAAAATAAAGTTTAACTTCAGCTAAAGGTCTCTCAACTGACACCTTTAAGAGCCAAATAATAATCAGCAGGAAAGGCATAAAAGACATAAGGAAGAGAAAAAAGAGGAAGGGGAGGGATAAGGAAAGTGGGAAGAGCCAAGAAACAGTCAGATATCCTAAAATGATATCCCACTGTCTGCACAGGGCTTTTTCAGGACAAAAGAAAAAATTAATAAAAAAAACCCTACAGTGACTATAAGCAAGTTTTGTTTTGTTTTGTTTTTGAGACAGGGTCTTACTACGTAGTTCAGGCTAGCTTTGAACTCAACGTGATCCTCTTGCCTCAGCCTCCCAAGTGCTGAGGTTACTGGTGTGCACCACCATGCTTAACGACCATAAGCGAGTTTTAGTATCTGTGCCATAAAGGTTATCTTCTTTGGGCTAATGTTACAAAAACATAACTACATAACCACAATGCAGTCAGTAAATTATGTAACGTTGCCCTCAAACACAAATGGTGTGAAGTGAAGCGCAGTGATGCTGGAAGAATGCCGAGGGACTTGGAGGTGGGCCAAGGGACAGGTACCAGAGCCCAGCCACAGATCTGAAACAAGAACAAAAACCGTACAAGGCCCTGGGTTCAATTCCTAGTACCACAACACACTAGGAGATTCCTAGGTATGAAAGCAAAAGGAGCCGGGGATATAGCTCAGCGGCACAAACGCCTGCCTGGCAAGCCTTCGGTCCTGAGTTTGATTTCCATACAAAAAAAAAAGCAGAAGGAGGTGAGTCCCAAGTGCTCTAACAGCTCCCTTCCTCCTTTGTCCCACAGGAGCTCATGGGATACTTGCTGCTAGATGAATAAACACAAGAAGAAACCCACAAGAGTATGACATCCCTACAGCAGAAGCAGCTTCTCCAGCCACACAGCAGTGTGTGTCACTGACAGCAGAACGAACGGCCAGAATTATTCCGCTCAGCAGAGCTTTCTCAGTAGTAAGAATTACCATGCATCAGCTTAACATGTTTAGTAACTCGCTCCTCAAATTAGATCATGACCCACATGGGGAAATGAGGGAGGCTTGCTGGGTCTGTCAGCTAATCAAGCGGAACTTAAGTGTTAGAAGGGATCTAAAACCAGAGGCCTGTAACCAGGCAGAGGTCCTGGACTTAGGCACCTTGGAGCTAGTATTTAGCAGCTGCAGCTGGGAACAAGTGGAACCGTAACAGTACCTGGACTTACATAAAGCTCCCAACAACAGCCCCAGATCTATGGAGCTTCAACAATTTTATTTGCTAACTGCTTCTTCCCAAGTTTACAGTGTACAGTGTGGGCTTGCTCACCAGTTCCTCTAACCCTCAAAAGGGGTAGGAAACTTTAGCACAGATGTGGAGATGGGGCAGAGGTACAAGTGAGCTAGAAACCCGCTGATGCTCCACAACTGGACATCAGGACATGCAAACTTCTACTTCCTACTGCTTAAAACTGTCTTCAGAAAAACTGGAAGATGGAGGCAGGACCCAAATGGTGTATCTGCCAATGGTCTTGGTTTCTGGTACCTCCAACAGAATACACTCTTTGTCTTCCTATTTCAGGAACAGGGTGAAGCTATGTTAGTCTATGCAGTCTGCAGAAGTACATAGGCCCAAAATTGGCTGTCAGGTTTGGCAACACCAGCTCGCCAACCTGGGAGGACTGAAAGAAACAGAACGTGTCCACGAAAAGCTCTCGGAAGTAAGACAGGTCTTCCACCTGAACCTTGATGCTGTATTGGTTGGCCAGAAGCTCCATGGTGCCTTGCACCACATACTCGTTCTGCAAATGTGAGAGTGAGCAGGTGGAATAGACAACATGGCCTCCTGGTCTGGTGGCAAGAAGTCCAGCCCTGAAAACAGAAAGAGAAAGAAGCAGTGACTACTGAGCTTCCCAGCTGTGGAAGGAGCAACTAAAGAGCGACACACAAAGGTAGGATAGTCTGCTCCAGAGTGGGTAGCTGAACTAGATCGCCCCTGAAGTCCCTTCTGTGATGACGCTGCCTGAGAACTTGTTCTCACGGCAGAGTAATCCAACCTTATTCCCTGAAGTCTCCTCTAGGAAGCCTTCCACTGTATCCTGATTCTGGTTATGGACTAAACCCTGAAGCTGGTGATACACTGATGCCTTACTCAGCCCTCAATTAGTAGTTCAATTTCTTTTCCTTTCCTTTCTCTTCCTCTTTCCCTCCATCCCTCCCTTGTTTGTTTTGTTTTAAGATAGGGTCTCACTATGTGGTCCAGGATGGCCTTGAACTTGTGGCGCTCCTCCTGCCCCAGCCTCCCCTGAGTGCTGGGATTAAAGATTAAAGGAGTATACCGCTATGCTCAGCTTTTTCTTTTTGAGACAGGGTTTCACTATGTACTGCAGGCTACCTTGAACTCGCTTATGTAGACCAGGCTGGCCTCAAACTCATGGTGATCCTCTTGCTCCAGCCTCCCAAGTGCTGGGATTACAGACATGCGCCACCACACCCGGCTCTTTCCTCACCTGGCTCTTTCCTTTTTTTCTAAGAAGCAGTCTCACTACTTTGCCCATCTTAGAATCCAGGCCAGCCCCAAACTCCTGGGCTCATGTGAGCCTCCTTCCCGGCCTTTCAAGCAGACATTACAGGTACTGAGTCTGGGGACAGCTATTTTTCAAATAGGCAAGCCACTGGTACTGAGGGCAAAACAGCATGAGTAAATTCTGTGCAGGCCACCCTGATATGTCCTACCAGGTAGGGTTTTCAATGTTCCAGACAAGGACCATCATATGCCTCCTCCAGGCAAATCTCCAGCCATAACACTCTTCCATGGGTGAAGGTCTTGGCAAAAGCTTCTGGTCCCTCCAGTCTCCCCAATGGCCAGACACCTAGAACACTCTCACACAAATCCTTCAGTTTCTGTAAATCTATCACTCACGCGAGTAGCTGCATCTGCAGCATAGGCAACATCTGTCGCTCCTTCTTTCTTGACCGTTGAAAAATGTTATTTTCTTCCTCATAAAGTGAGTGTCGGTCTGCGGTACAGGGCACATCTACCAGCACCTACTCAGAGGTAAAGGGTAAAACATTAAAGCTCCTTAAAGACTTTTCCTACTAGGGCCACAGCTGTCTCCGACTCTTGACCTAGAAGGTTCATGGAATGTTCTCTCTGCCCACTCCTCCATTTCAGAGAACCTGACAATGCTACTCACTTTAGCCTTTTACACAACTATGAAATAATGAGTGGGAAAATAGTATATTCAGCAATATTTGTGAATGGCCAAAAAGCCCAAACCCACACACAAATAAATATAAAATTAAAGAACTAGTATCAACAGAGTGCTTCAGGGTTGTGTCCTTACCTACCTGGATGAAAACATCCAGTTCATAGATGATACAATGCTTAATTTACAAACAACACTGAGAACTCACTTTGTAGCCCAGGCTGGTCTCAAACTCGCAATGATCCTCCTGTCTCAGCCTTTCAAGTGCTGGGATTACAGGCATGTGCCACCACCCCCGACTCATGAAAATGTTTTAAAATAAGAAATATAAAGTCACTCATGCATTACTAAGAGCCTACTATATACTAGGCACTAAAGAAAAACAAAATTTTTTTAAAAAATTTTTGTTTCAAAAAGTACAATCATCTTTGGAAAAGATCTGTTTTAGTTAAGCACAAATTCTAGCCAAATTAAAAAATGACCCAGTGTTCAGCATCCCGATGTGTTCCCAGCTGCCTTGGTAGATACAGCGCATACAGAGTAAGAAAAATGATCAACTCATATGCTAGTCATGCCACACTGAACTATGATGAGGCTCCCCTTCACAGGAAAAATGGAATACTAATTAATGGGGATGTCCACAGAAGGGCCACTGCGTTCTACAAACCATCTCATAGAAGAATTTAGTATCGTTTGTTTCTATTAATATACTAAATTAGATATACTAAAAACTATTCTAACACAAAACTTTAAAAGACTCGATAAAATGTATTTTAAAAATACATTCAAATGTAGCACTCAAAGATAACAAAAACCTTCAGAACACACACACACACACACACACACACACACACAGGAAAATAAATCCAAGGAGGTATGTAGGAGCTAAAGTTAATGGCTTCTGGGGTTGTTTTGCTTTGTTTTGAGTATAGTATGGGGGACTCAACTCAGAGACTTTGTACTGAGCAACATCTCCAGGCTTTTTTTTATTCTGAGATTGGGTTTTCCTAATTTACTAAACTGCCCAGCCTAGACTGCCATCTGCTATCCTCCTTCCTCAGTCTGCTAGAGTGCTGTGCAGGGATTACGGACATGTGCTACTACAGCCAGCTAATGGTTTACGTTTTTTTACTAATTCCTATTAATTAAAAGCCCAGAAGGACAAAAAAACAGAGCATTTCCCATGTGAGGCAAGAAACTGGAATGGAAACCTACACCAAAGCCAAACCTTCAAAGAGCGGGCTAGTAAACAAATACCTTCTGCTTTGAGTTGGCCCTGAAATTTAATACCCTAGACACAGGAAAGCTGGAAAAAGAACAGCCTTCACAAAACCCAACCTTGAATCAGCTTACATTCTGAGCGAATTAAGATGATATGCCTTACTCTTGTGTGGCGCCAAAGCAAATCAAAATCTTTTTAAAGGAAGCTAGCAGCATCTACAGGCTGATTATCCTTATAATTATTTACACATAGCATTAGCAATCAAAATTAAAAATTATTAATTTACCAGAAGAAAAAATTCAAATCACCAAAAAAAAAAAAAAAAAAAGAGAGAAGCTGGGCATGGTGGCACATGCCTGCAAGCTCAGCACCTGGCAACCTGGGAACCTGTATTACACAGCAAGACTGTCTCAAAAAACAAACAAAACCCAAGAGGCCACTGTGTTTGCTCTTGCATGGTGGCCCACCCTCACGCTGTAGGGTACACTACTTTTACTACTTTTCTTGGCCCAAACTCACTCTGCAGAGCCTGTTTTTCCTACCTTCAATAAGACTTTGCTACCATTCATGCTTGTCTTGACCTATTCTTTGCTCAGGACAGAAAGAACCTAGAAACCATGTCCAGAAGGATACCAGCACCCTAAAAGCTGGTAATGAATTTGGCTTAGCTAGCCAAGAGCAGCAGGTAAGGCTCTTTTGCCACAATTTTTGTTTCTCTCTAAAATGCTACAGTTTTTTTTTTCCTTTCCCTGTCTTTCTCCCCACCTAGGCAGGGGAGCTCAGGAGACTTCTCATGCCACAGAGAACTGTTTCCTGCTTTTCCACCTGTGTGTGTGTTGGGTGGGGTGGAGGATGTGGCCTCCGTGTTTTTCTTCCAACTGTAGGAGGCCTACAGGCCTGGTGAAAATTTATCTCCTCTTTTCTTCTCTTTCCAATTTTTGCTCAGTCACTCAAGATACAAGTCAGTAAAGAACAACTCGAGAGCCTGTTACCAGCTGCAGAACAACTTGCTCAGGGGCCACGCGTGCGACCGAGACTTTACTGTGGCTTTCTGTTCTCCGTCGACACTGTGCTCAGTTTTCTCACTCTTTTGGGGAAAAATGTTGGTAACCTGGTCGCCTGCCTGAGTAGCCACCTATCTCAGCTGACTTCTTTGTGTTCAGAGTCTCTGTGCTTTCCCCCTAGATGGCTGTTTTTAGGGTCACCATCATCATAGGCCTAGCCACCCATTTTGGATCAGCCACATGGGTTCCACCAGGTTTATTTCCCTTCCTTGTTTCTTCTAACAAGATGCACGTAATTTAGAAACATGCCTGCTGGCCTATGCAGAACAAAGAAACACCCAGTAAAGCTTAACTCAAGTAACTGTGAGTCATTTTTAGGATTTTTATGTGAGTCAGTTTTAGGATTCTTAAAGGCTTTTTTTTGTTGTTGTTGTTTTTTAAAGAGGTTTCATCCCAGGTTTCCTCAGGAGGCTGAGGAAGGAGGATCACCATGAGTTCAAGCCCAGCCTGAGCTACACAGTGAGTTCAAACCCAGCATGAACTAATAGGGAGACCCTGTCTGAAAAAAAAAAAAAAGGTGTCCATCTCTACTGCCTTACACAAAGTACCAAAGTTTTTACTATGGGGTAAATTCAAGAGATACTGTTTCTCAAGGGGCTCCACTTAAGTGGAGCAGCCCTACAGCCCCTCAAGACCCTAATCTTATTCCCCGTTCCTCAGAAATCATTCTGGCCAGGCATGGTGGTGCACACCTGTAATCCCAGCACTCAGGAGTCTGAAGCAGGAGGATTGTTGCAAGTTTGAGACCAGCCTGGGCTACAAAGTGAGCGCAAGGCCAGCCTGAACTGCATAGTGAGACCCTGTCTCAAAAAGAAAAAAAAAAAAAAAAAAGGAAGGAAATCATTCTGGTCCTTCCTCAAGGGATATAGTGACAAGCTATAAAAATCCTACATGGAAAACAGTCACTAGAATTTTCACAGGACTAAGAAGAAAGCTATTCCTGACAACCTCTGGAAGACCAGAGGCTTCTCTTCAGAAAGCAAGACAGTACTGCTCCAGGTGCAGGTAAGTAGAGTCACTAAGGAACCTAACTGACCACAGCTTAAGTGGGCACCTGTATGGAGGCTCTTGTTTTTAATTAGATCCATTATGTGAGTAATCTTGCTAGGTTATGGCTCTTAGGCTCTTGATAATGTATCTAACCTCTCTCTTTGCCATACTCTGTCCTCCATAAGAATCGTGAAAATCTGATTAGCTCCTCATATTTGGGTTCTACACCCCTAACATAATAGTAAAATTCTTTTCTTTCTCCCATTGAACAGACAGCTCAACAGTTACTAATTCTTTTCTCATTGTCTTTTTACGGTTTTTTCTTCAGCCCAGCCAGTGAGCCACAACACCAAGGTAGTAGGAGAGGACACTATGCCCAGCAGCTGCGGTCTACAGCCCCTTCCAGCTGGAAGAAGCTGTAGAAGACAGACTTCTACTCATTCTGCACCCCATAAAGAATTATGGGGAGATCTGGGCATGGTGGCGCAGGCCTACAATCCCAGCACTCAGGAGGCTGAGGCAGGAGGATAGCCATGAGTTTGAGGCCAGCCTGGGCTACATAGTGAATTCAAGGGCAGCCTGAACTACCCTTGTTTTTTTGAGACATAGCAAGACCATGTATCAAAAAAACAACATGAGAAGCCACTTTGAAACTATCAATATGTAATACAACAACCATTGTTAATTCCCTACCACTTTGTTTATAACTCCGTATTGTCTGCACTGTTCTTTTGCTATTTTGTAAAATGTTGCCTATCTGTTAATGTTTTTCCTCCTTTTACTTTTAAAATAAAAACAAACAAAAAAACCAAAACAACAATAACAACAAAAAATTATGGGGATATGTGTCTCGAGTAGGCTTTTGAGAGATGGCTTAGACCACATGTCAGCCTGAGGCGTGGGCAATACACAAAGGACAGTGCACACTGAGTTCCTGTCACTGTGCTCCCTCCTGCACACTGCACCGTGAACTTTTTACTTGGCTCAGACTCATTCTGCAGAGCCTGTTTCTTTTTCTACCTTTAATAAAACTTTGCTACCATTAAAAAAGAGAGAAGAGACCTGAGTATGGTGGTGCACGCCTGTAATCCCAGCACCTGGGAGGCTGAGGCAGGAGGATCCCTGTGAGTTTGAGACCAGCATACACTACAAAGTGAGTTCAAGGTCAGCTTAAACTGCTTAGTGAAACTGTGTCTCCAAAAGACTGAAAAGAGAGACAGTGGACCAGAAGTATTATCAGGTAGCTTCTTCTGAGAGTGGCTCACCTCACTTTCTAGTTAGATTTCTGGTTTTGTCTCAAAGAATTGAGCAAAGTGAGCAAAAAACAGTGGCCAAGTTTATTTGAAAAAGTAAAAGTGAACAGAGAAACCGGCTCTGCAGAGCAAGCTTGGGCCGAGTAAAAGAAAAAACAAGATTAAAAAGTACACCCTGGAGAAAGCAGACCCGCCCTAACCCTAACCTAGCACCACCTCTCAAGAGCTGTACGTAGAAGTTCTCAGGGGTCTCCTGAGATTTGTACAGCATAAAGGAGAGGCACCACAGGAAGAGCTTGCTATCACGGCTTTCCTCCTGGAGAGCCCACCCCGCTTCCTCCAGGGGGTCCTTTCATCTTGCTTTGTGCTCTTTTACTTGGCCCAAGCTCCCTCTGCACAGCCACTTTCTCCCTCACGCTTGCTTCACTTTTACTTTTTCAGTAAACTTCATCACTGCTTTTTGCTCGTTTCTTTCAATTCTCTGTTCGAGATGAGAAGAACCTGGAATCTAACTCCAGAAGGAGAGGCAAGCAATCCAGAACCTGGTAATGTCTCTTTGACAAGCCACTTTTAAAGGGAGCTACCTGGTAACAGCAGTGTCACTCAGTGGTAGAACATGTGCTCACTAGGCATGAGGCCCTCAGTTCAATCCTTAGCACCACATTTACACACAAAAGTATGATAGCAGAAGCAGACTCATGTGAGACCGAACACTGAAATCATCAGAAATAAGTGTTTCAAAACGTCACAGTTAATATATTAAGAAGTTAGATTGAAAAACAGTTTCTACAAAACTGGAAATTTAAAAAAATAATCAGAAATCCCAAAACTGTAAAATACAATAATAACAAACTAAGAAGTCAATAGATATATTTAATCGCATATTAGACAGAGCTGAAAAAAGGATTAGTGAATTAGGCGAAAATAAAATATTCAGACTGAGTCATGAGAAAAAAATAGCAATAAAGAAGAGTTAAAAAATAGGGGCTAGTGAATGAGATAAAAATAAAATATTCAGCTGGGAGTGGTGGTGAACACCTGTAATCCCAGCACTTGGGAGGATAAAGCAGAAGGATCACAGTGAGTTCAAGGCCAGCCTGGGCTACAGAGTAAGTTCAAGACTAGTCTGAACTGCATAGCAAGACCCTGTCCCAAAAATAAATAAAT